ACGCATTCAAGAGTGTGTTTGCTAAATTAACTTTCTACAAAGTTCCAGAGAGATGGAACTATTTGATTCCTTAGATAAGAACTTCAATGATGTGTCTCCCCTTTCAGGTCTTCCATGGGATGTTTGAGTTTTTAATAGAGCTTTGGAAACAGGAATGCGGTGTGGGGCTCACTGATTGATTGGTGGTCCATTGATTGAGTCTCTGAGTTTTCCTCTGACAATATTCTTGCCTCCTTTATTTGACTTCTTGTCAGTCAGCCATCCTTAAGATCAGGGAGATTTCTACTTCCTTACAATGCTCAATGCATTTGTCGTTTTCTTTTAAGTTAAAAAATCCCTTCTTTTTCAAGGCCTCCGTGAAAGATCAAAATAGTGTTGATGTTGAATTCCAGAACTCATGATTAACTTGAGAAAGCGCTTATTTTCAGCGAGATTATCTAAGAAGCTGTGGCACTCATTGTCTACGTACAGTTATCAATCTCTAATCACATATTCCACTGACATCAGGGTAGAAGATGGTTCTTAATACAGCATATAAGTCACATCTGTTCCACGAGAGGTTCTTCTTCAGTAGACCCCAGAAAAAGTGTCTACGATGGCAATGTATATATCCTTCCTGTCGTTCTCAATGGTAAGCCTATTTAAAATTGATGTCTTCATAGTGTGATCAACACATTAGCACACATTATTTTGTACTTTTGAACTTATGCCAGCGGTACCTTTTGCTGTTTATTTTTTTTAAAGTCTTTTTTAAGATCGGATATTTCATTTCCGAGTAAATAGATACAGATTGTGTGTATATATATTCAGGGTGAGATTTAGTAGTGTAGCATTTCTCCAGCATATATTGGCCTATTTTTACTCTTTCAAGTGATTCTGTATCACTCGCACAGTCTTTGCCGTCTGAAAGTTCGTATAGAAATTCTAATCACCTCTTTTAATGGACTTTCAAGGATGTCCTTCTGTTTATGCGGCGATCTGGTTGAGTTGCAAGAGGTGAAAATTAGTTAGTTGGTACCTCAGGGTTCACGTCTCTAGTTTCTGCTGAAATTTATTCAGTCCAGTTATCTGACATTTGGTAGAGAAGTGACTTGTAATCAACAATTAAGAGTTGGTACAGTTTCCAGTGGAGGAAAGATCTTGCTGGATAGAACGTTGAACTGTGCAATATTTTATGACCCTCGTCACTCATTTTAGCGCCGGCGTATTGTTGCACGCGTTTTTGAGCACCTAAGGGTGCTGGTCCCCCAGATGAGGCTGACACGCTTGTAGAAGAAGCAGATGTCAGGCTGCACCTGGTTGTGCCTTCCCTAGTCTGTCTGTGGACCTGAGCCGGCCCCCCTCCCGTGCGCCCCTTCCCCCCCAGGTGTGCAGGAAGTAGAGGGCGTTATACTGGGTGCAGTGGGTGGACTCTCCCCGAAGCTGTGACCTGATTTGTGACGCACCCTCAGAACGGCCGTGATTGTCCAGCTGCTTCTCAGGCAACTGGTAACCACCTCATTTGGGGATGTTTCTGCCTCACTAGCTGTGCCAGCCAGAACTTCATCATTGTCACCTCGTCAGAGACTACTTTTTCAGACCACTCCTGTGGGGCCAGATTCCGAGAGCAGCCTCCAAGATTTGGAGGGTAAGTGTCAGGAAAGTTCCTCCAGGCAGTTTCATGTGGAGCATCAATGGAAGGCAGGCATTTCGTGTTCGGGGAGGGCTCTCGATGGGGATACTGCTTTTTCTCAGCTGTAGGTGATTGGGGACCAGACACCAAGAGCTGTTCTTGAGTGGGCTTGCTTTTTTGGGGTGGCAATATACTGTAGCCAGCTCCCAGGGGGAAATTATTAGACCTCGTTTCCTGGCAATATTTGAAGAAAAGATAGTCAGTGATCTGTGTGAAGGAGAATCCTTTAGATGCAATTTTCCTGGAAGCCAGAATGTAGTAGAGTTGATTGCTAAGATTCCTCTATAGTCTTATTCAATGGTTCCTGACATGCTGTTAAGAGCATGAAAATGACAATTTGGCCTTTTAATGTTTATAATGTTAAGGACTTTAAGGCAAAAGAGGTTTTATGTTATAAATATTTTATTGTCATAATTATTATAAATAAAATAGAACCTAGTGTATGCAGATATCTTTGAAATGGAGATAGTCTTGAATATAGCGTATCCATAATTAGCTGTTTGATATTGAATGCAATTGAGTTTTCCTGTTCCAGTGAGCCAGACAATGGAAATCTTTGGGGATTAACAGCAGGGCTATGTGATTCTTGGGATTACAAGCCTTTCTTTCCCCTAGAAAAGATTTTAGCAGTGAATGAGTTACTGAATTACAACGCTTACAGTTTAAAATAAAAAAAAAAATCTGTAGAATTGATAAAATAATCCAACTGTTTCCCATTGTATTTTCACCAACTGAAATGATACTTAGGTGTGTCTTGTTTTATGGTAGACAGATATCTCCAGACTGTGGGAGGAAAGCACCATATTTTAATAACTATGCTTTACAGTTTTTGTCTTAGAGATGGGCTCCCTTCTGGGTGGTTTAAGAGGACTCAAACAATTTAGAACATTACCTTAAAAGTTGAACAATGGCAGCCTTAGTTTGTATAGAGTCACTGTATTTTAATAATACTGTATGCTTATTAGTGTTATTAGCGCAGTAGACAGTTAATTACAGCCTTTTCTGAGACGTGTTAACTATATATTAACAATCATGCTAAAAAAGAATGATGTATACCCTTACATGCAAGCTGCTGCTTGCTAGACTCATGAAAACAAAATTCTTTTGCAACATATGGAGTCAGATTTTTCGTCCATGATCATCAAAGGTATCTTACTAAAGCAACTTAATTTTAAAACTTTTCACTGGGTTATACAATTTTTCTCCTGTTTTATCTCTTTCTTTGTGATCATTGTTGACTTGGTGGTTTTTGCCAGTGTCATTAGAAATTGTTGCCCTGCAGTAGTTTTAGCTTTCTCAAATTATATGTTGAGACCCCCCCCCCATTTTCTTGTTTTTCGATGACTTTGGCCAACATAATCCATGAAAAGCATGTTGAATTGATTTAGCACCTCTTAATATTTATTTTTTTGGAATCATTTTAGTCACTTGTTCTTTAACCAAATTGTGCTTACTTACAGTTCTAAGTAACCTAATGTTTAAAATACATTTGAACAGTTAATCACAGTGGTAGTTCTAAGATTATCTCGTGGTCCATATCTCAATCCTGGGATTTCACCATGGCTTCTGGCATGGCAAAACAATAGGTGACCGAAACTGGAGGGACTTCAAGCTGGACTTAGCCCTCCTTATGCAGTCTGTCCAATTGGTTGACCATTGGAATTCCCTTGGTTAATTTGAATTTGTAGACCTTGTGACCTCTTTCTGAAGTTTGTGGGTGCTGCTGTTATTTATTTCTACGAGGTATTAAACTATAGAAAAGAAATTAAGTAGAAAGTCCATGTCTGTGTTGTATAAAATAGAAGAACCTTCACAGTTAGTCTTCTGTGCCTGGGACATAGTGGGCATGCACTAAAGAATTGCTAAATGAATTATCAATAGGGAGGGTTGCCTGTGCTGATAAAGATTTATTGGGGAAAGAGAGTTTTCTACTTTTCTGTTTCTACTGGGGCTATCTGATCACTTAATCCGCAGTGCCCCAGCTTTGTATAATTGGATGTTTGAATAACTGGATGTTTGTATTTTTCATTGCTCTTTTTTTTTTTTCCCGACAATAGCACCAGAGTCTACATGTTATCCTCATTGCCCGACCTTCAGTATTAGGCTAAGAATGAATCTCTGTTCAGGTTCATGACTCTTTGGTGCTTGGTTGTGGTAACAAATGGTACTAGAGTCGACACAGAGCACTCCCCTGAGTTCCTTGAAGTGCAGCCACCATATCATGGTCTTTCTAATATTCCAGAACCTCAAATACTGTGACCTAGTGCCTCAGGGCGAATTGACCTCTACCTATTCTTTCCTACAGTGATGATTTGTATTTTTGCCCCTGGATCCCCATGGAGTAAGTATTGACCATGCTCAGTGCATAAAATGACATTTTTCATTGTAGTGGTGTCCACAGCTGAAAAATCTGCTAGGATTTAGGGTATTATTTATATTAACAGAGATTTCACTCCATTCCTTAAAACTAATAGTAGAGTTGCAGTAGGATTGTGTTAGCTGCATCTGAAATATTCTGGAAAGTTCTGGGCAGTCTGTGGAAGTTATCTTTTAAAAAGACACTTCCTTTGCGAGTCTGTTTTCATTTTAAAATGCATGTGGGGCTATCTGCAGGACAGTCCTCTTTAGTTCTAGGAAAGAAAGCATTTCTTAAGTGGTGCACTGCTGTGTGACCTAGTGCATTATCATGTACATTCTGTCTCTTTAAAAACACAGTCTCCTCTATTTGCCCTATTAATTGTTGATATGTTGCCATCCACGAGACAAAAATTAGAGCTGTAATTAAATAATCATGTGATGCTCCTTAGTGCCAGTGAGAGCAAACTCATTTTTCCAGGCTCTGATGGTCACTGATTATTGTATTACTACTGGCTGGCTTTATTTTTTTTAATGATTCTCTATCTGTAGATTACCTAACTACTGTCCTTCTTTTCAAAATTAAAGAAAGTAGAAAACATTCAGCCAGTTAATTGGCTCGAGGTCCTCTGGGACGTAAGGTAGACATACCTTTTTTTTGCTTTTGGTCACCTGGTGGGTTCTTCGGGGAGGCGACATCAGTGGTGTGGTTGCCTGCCATTTAATTTACACTGGTGTTTTGGCTGGGATGGAGGCTTATGGGGAATGCCAGGAGAATTACAAAAGGAGCCGGGTATTAAAATTCAGAAATGATTAAAATTGAAATAAAAGGATGCTGCTTCTTTGCCAGTACTCTGGCAGTCATCATGACACATAGAGATTAGTTTCCGCCTTCATCTTTTCCCTCTTTCTCATTTCCTCTTGTTTATTGTTGACACATCTTCCTTATGTCTGTCTCCTGACTCTGTATCTCTTTGCACCATTATGCATTCCTAGATTTCTCTCTTTCTTTAAGCACGGAGAAGCCTACTTAACCTTATTATAACAATAACAGAATAGGTTATTAATATTTAATATGCACATGATTAAAATTTCTCTCCCTTAAACATAGGTCAGCTGTATTATTATTAACCGGCATGTAATTTTTCATTTAAAATATTCTTTTTCTGCCCTTGCCGTTTCTGAAATGCAGCTTACTTTAGTAGTGATTTAATACATAACGTTTAGAAAACTGTGGCCAGCGAGTGAGAAAAGAACTTACCAGTCATGGATAATCAATTATGCATGAATTCAAATGTAACAGATGGAATCTGGTGAGTTAAAGTTTCTCTTTGCCTTAGTGGGGTTTTTTTGTTTGTTTGTTTGACACCTGTCTCTTATATAAAGGGAAACATTGAAGGTAGCATGTGAGAAACTCCCTTATATTTTGATTTTCTCCTTTAATTTGAATTTTTAAAAATTAAATCTAAGGGTAGAGAGTTTTTCACGTGGTCTTAGAGGTGAGCAGTTTCTCTCCCTTCGTTTTGCAGATACATACGCTGATCTTGCTTAACTCATGAGGGGTGGCTCAACTAGCCATCCGGTAGAGTAAGACCTGCATCTGCCTAATCGGTATTTTTTCCACTATGTCATTAATCCTTCTTTTTGTGGGAGTTGCTTAGTAATAGGGGTGCTACACTAACTTTGTGACTTAAAGGCTTTCTGATGAAAACTAGGATAGACTAGTTGTAAATGGTACTCGAACTAGTTTTAATCGTTTTTTCATGTCTCTTGCATGACATGCAAATATTATCTGTGTACCTAGATCATGTTCTCCTGCATGTGTGTCAATACATGTATTTATACTTGGACATTGGCCAAACAGTCGAATGCCTCAGATCTATTGAGAATGCCACAGGATTTGGTTTTGTATCCTAAACTGTGGCAATGCCAGCCTCAAAGACCCTTTTGCCCTTGCTTGCAAGGTTGTCTGTTTTCAGCAACAAAACTCTTTGGTGCAAATTGAACTGAAGAGTTAGGCTTCAGAGCCTTGCCACCTCCAAGGAGAGAGAGTGTGAATGAGTAGTGTTTCCTAACTGTAGAAGTCAGGGAAGAACAGTGGTATTGGCCACCTTTCATGCAAGGCAGTCTCAAAACAGTCAAAGTCATGAGCTGGTCCCCAACAACATTTTTCTTAAATGTGCCATTTGTTTCTCTCCCAAATGTGTTTATATATTTAAGAAATACGAGTGAAAATAGTCTTTACATAATAAATAAAAATAAATGATGAAAAAATAGCCTCCAGGCTCTAGTTCATTTTTTTAAAGTTACACGGTAGCATTATTTATCAACTTTTTGCTTCATATTAGCTGGAAATTTGCATGTTTATTTATACTCCATGTGAGTTATCTAATGAATTACATTTTAAAATGAACATGCTAATAAAGACAAAGGCACCTGCAAGATAGGTGAGTGGGTATGCTTTAGCTACAACTATACTGTGAAGCTGTTTGTTAGCATTGTGTTTAATGCTTTTACACATAATCAATGTATCTTTTTAATTTGACCTCACTATGTATTAATAGTCCTTAATCATGCATATCAGAAAAAATAACGTATTCATAGGCATGAACTTCAACAGAATATGATTTATACATGAATTTCCAATTCATTAAAAAATTCCATTATTAATATAAAAGTCCCCAATATAAAATTAGTAGGAAGAATAGTTGATATAAAACAATATAGAACAATATAGGAAGAGAGGATGTTTCAAATTACTGTATGCAGAAGTAAATACTTTAATCCTTATTACTATCACTAAAAAATGACTATTTGAAAGCATTTTGGTTTTTTTAAAAAAAAACTTTTCTTTTTTGTAAAAATGTTCTGAAGTCTTTATAGGCTGATAATTCAGAAATTTTTACTTTATACAATGCTATAATTGCAGCTGTGCTGTATGTGAGTGTGTGATGCGTTACTGTTTAGCCGGGAGGGTGTACACGTTCATGAATATAGTTAATTTTTACTGTTTTGAAAAATACCCAAAAAGAATTTTTGGACTTAGGGCAGCCTTATTGGTTCATTTTTGTCTCTGCTTCCTTCTCTTCTTTTGCGAAGATACCGTTTTGAATAAAACCTGAAAAGAGAACCGTTTTCTTCCATCGAAGGACGCTCACATGGGGTGGGATCTTCGTCTCTAATTAACAGCCCGTGTTCATTATCCTTGAGTCAGGTATTTTTCATATGAATTAATCATCCAGCCTCAACCAGACCCATGGCTGTGAAGCAGGTAAGGGCCAAGCAGCGGAAGGTTGAGGATGGGCATGGATCTCTTCAGTGTGATGTACCTTGTTGCTCTGAAGCTTGCCGTGATGTTCCAGGTTCATACATAGCAACAGCCAGTCTGAGGAATCCATGAACGATTGTTTTGCTTTAGCTTTTTGTTGTTGTGGTTTAAAATTTTTTGCGCAGCTATCTCCACTGTGCTTCTAAAACTCTTCTTTCAGCCCACAGCGAATGTGCTTTGTTCTGAATTAGACTTCTCCTGCGTGTCAACACATTTCGAGTGTTATAGTGGCATTTCTCCCTGTCCAGGTGTGAAGCAGTGTTTCTGCTGGTGGCTTTCCCTCCCAGGGCCCATCCCCGGTCCAGCGCTTTATGGGTAGCAATGCAGTATTCGATACAGCATTTGGCAAATGTCCCCAACGAGCAACCTGGACAGGGATTTGGGCCCATGGTACCCTGAAACTCTTACTCCCTCCAATGAAGCCAGGAAATGTGGTTGACATGTGCGTCTTGGCTACTGGTTTCCCTTTCCCAGGGAAAGGTTGCCGTGTGCCTCCCCTGGAATTAAAGTTCGGGGGATTTGACCTAGTGCTTCCTGAGCGTATGAGAGGCCCAGCTGCTAGGGATGGGATGCCTTGCCATGCGCTCCTTGGCACGGACGACCTGAATACTTAAGTTCTGCTCAAGTGCAGTGACTCAGTCTGGAAATAAGTGGAACAGTTTTCAGCCGTTCAAGGAGAAGCCCACTCAAGGTTGAACAGTGTTTTGGGAGAAGAATCACGCTCAACTATGTTGGAGAAAGGATTAGTGGGAACTTGGCCAGTCCTGGCCCCAGTCAGGAATAGGCGGGTTTCAGAACTGTGCTTTCACGTGTCATTTTGTGGTTAGTCATTTATGTCTGTGATGATAAACCACATACCTGCACAGGGTTCCTGGCACCCCAGTAAATCTTGAGCAAGTGCCCAAATGCTCATTTCTTAGGGCTCCTCACATAGCATGCCTATTTCATCCCATACCTTGCTCCCCACCTCTTTTATGACCCTCTTTTTGTTTGTTTGGAACAAGTGGCTTGCCTACGCTTGAATTTCTTAAGTTTGGGACCACTGCCCTAGCAGCCTTAACTTTTTCAAATGACCCTAGGACTGGGATTCCTAGCAGGCATGTTTGATTCCCTATCTTCAAAACAGGACCTAGCCTAATGGACGCCAAACCTAGCCTCATCCTTGGAGCTCTGAGACATTGAATGCCTGGCTCCCCTCCCCCCGCCCCACCCATTTGGATTCAGCTGCAGGGCGGGGTGTGCGGCTGCGGCTGGGACTCCTGGATTGTGAGCCCAGCACCTGTTTTATGTCCTGAGGTGATCCAGCAGCATTCTTAGGACCCCCGGCTCATTAAAAAAAGTTCTTGAATGTTCTTCCTGTGGTGGCAGGCCCAGTCACGGACTGTCACAGCCTCCAAGGAAAGCTTCCAGAGGCTTACAGTCCTGCAGTCTGCAGGGGCAGGCATATAAGTGTGGGATGTCACATTTGCACACGGGGCATGGTGGTGTCCCAGAGCCTCAAGAAGGAGATTGCTAACAGCTGGAGAAAGCTTTGGATAGGAGGGAGGGGCGAAATCCAGCTGCGTCACAGGAGATGGCCAAAGGGAGGTGCCCAAGTCAGAAGGGCAGGTAGGACACTCCAGGAACCGTGAGGGGGGAAAAATTGAGGCATCTTGGTGGAGTCAAGGGCAATTCCAGGACTCCTTCCTGCTTTCTACTCAATTTCGGACCTAGGTCTAAATAGAGGTACCAATTTGGATGGAATTATTGCTCTTGGGTCTTGTCAAAGAAATGATCTACGCTGACACCTATGGAAGGAAAGGTGGCTAAAAGAAAACGTTTTTTTCTCTTAAATTTTCAACAAAACAGTAATGTTTCTGGGGAAAAGGCCCAGATATCCTGTCAGTATCTAGAAGCTGATTAATACTCATTTCCCTGCTCCAGATCTCCCCAAACTAATGCAAACATGGCCTCTTTCCCTCAGCTATAAAAATGACCTTTGTCGGTTAAAACTATGTCGTAAATGACCACTGGGTATTTATATCCACCCCGGAGTAATTAGGAGACAACTTTTGATCACTATCAGTCTGGCTATAACTGAAACCCAGCTTATTAGGAGAAGTAAACAGACGCCTGAAGCCCTAGGTTTAGAGTTTATGATGCTCCTTTATCATCCTGCAACCCTTTGAAGCCTCTTCCCTGCAGTCCACTAGTGTTTGTTGCTTTTCAGATCCCTCCCAGTTTGAGTAGGTGTCTACATTAAAGCTTCCAAAGAGCCATTTTTTTTTTGAGTCGGCGTCTCACTCTGTTGCCCAGGTTGGAGTGCAGTGGCACGCTCACGGCCACCGCAGCCTCGACCTGCTGGACTCGGGTGATCCCTCCACCTCAGCCTTCCAAGTAGCTGGAACTACAGGTGTGCACCCCCACACCCGGCTAATTTTTTGATTTCTTGTAGAGACGGAGTCTCGCCAAGTTGCCCAGCTGGTCTCGAACCCCTGGATTCAGGCAATCCTCTCTGCCTCCGACTCCCAAAGTACTGGGATTACAGGTGTGAGCCCCTGCACTGGGCTCCAGAGAGCCATTTCTAAGGGCAGCTTGGCTCATTTAGTGTGGGGACGAGGGTGAGGGTGGGAATGACGGTGGCTTTTAACTTCACCTATGAGATATTTAAATGTTCATGGAAAGCAGCTTTGGGGGTAAACACGTATTATTCCAAATGTGTCACAGAACCCTTCCCAATACAGACATGTCTAGAAAGCTGTCTAAAATTCATATTCAGCAGTACACAAGTCTCATTCCATGCAGCTTTACTGATCTTTGGGCTATTTTGTTTTTTTTTTTTTTTTTTGGAGTCTCATTTCGTCGCCCGGGCTGGAGTGCAGTGGCATGCTCACAGATCACCCCAGCATGGAATAATTCCAAAATGGAAAATTATCTCGATTCAGACATCATGAGGATGTCTGGAAGTAAGTCACTCAGCACCTCTTAGGCTGCTCCTGGTCAGGT